CGCATAGCCCTGAGGATGCCTTGACTTTTGCCCACTGAGACCCATTCCAGACTTCTGACCTCCAGATCTGTAAGATGGTGAATGTATACTTTATATTTTTTGTGGTGCTCGTTACACTAGAAACGGGAAAGTCGTGTGGGGTTCCAGGGAAGGCCCCTCGGAGGAGGTGAAGCACCCAGTCTGGTGAGAGCGGCAGAGAGGGCTGAGGGGAAGCCGCACTTGCACCTTATTCCCCAGCCAGAGTCCAGCAGGCACTATGCCTGCTGCCTCTCGTTGTTGTTCCAGACCTCTTCACTGGCCTCAGGTTCCTATTCCATCCACCCTCCCTTCCTTCCTCATGGAAATAAAAGCCATCGGTTAATTGAGCGACTCCACTGATTCAGCACCTAAGAAGCACTGGACACCTACCTATCCGTGGCCAGTAGAGCTTCCAGGACAGGAGGAACCTGCCATGCGCCTTCTAACGCCTCCAATCGGCTTCTTGTCTGTTGCGGCCCAAGGAAGGCAAACAGGCCGGGGTCAGGATGTCTGGGCCCCCTGGCCTAGAGCTCCCAAAGAGGGTGGCACGTGGGGGCTGTCCCTTACTGGTTCCTCTAAAAAAGGCCCTTTCCTTGCTGCTCAGACTCTCCGAAGCCAAAGGGCAGTGAACACCCTTCCTTCTCACTTAGCCTAGAAATTTTAAGGGTTTCAAATGACATGGTGGTCGATATCTGTTAGGTTATGTAAGAATCTCCAGGCAGGAATCAACTAGTTATACCCATCAGGACACTGTGGAATCTTTGGTGCAAAACTTTTGGCATTTTCCGGGACTTGATGAACAATAAAACAGAACTGTTTCCATTCTAAGCTGATATGTGCCCTCTTTGCTTTATTCAACATAGGTGATCAACAAGGGGCTGTACAGATTTTGCAGACCTGCAGAAACTGAATCTCCAAATATTAGAGAAGATCAAGAAGCCCTGTTTTTCAGACATGGGGGTACCCTCAAGCCACAAACGCCAGACAAGACTCTGATGGCAGAATCAGGACTGAAATGGAGCCCAAGCCCACAAGCGGGAATTTACGGTAAAACATAACGCCCATTTTCTTTAGGGCCCCAAGTCCAATTGCCCAAATGTACTCAGGAGGCAGTCCTCCTCTCTGTGTCCTAAAAGCAAACCATACAGATGAAAGTCTTCCCTAAGAAAGAAAGCAGGATGAACAACCTCCTATTTTTAAAAATATTTATTTTGGGAGGGAGAGGGGGTGGAGAGAGTCCCAAGCAGGCTCCCAGCTGTCAGGGCAGAGCCCAATGCGGGGCTCGAACTCACGAACCAGGAGATCATAGCCTGATCTGAAATCAAGAGTCAGATGCTTAACCAATGGAGTCACCCAGTCACCTCTTCTTTCTTTCTTTTTTTTTTTTTTATTATCCAAATATTTTTTTTAAAAATCTCCTAAAGCCTTGCTCTGTTTGGAGAGACAAACTGTACCGACATGCCCCTGGGGGCCTATGACAATGGCATTGCCTTCAGCACTGCCACAATCGAACGAATGCCCCCCAGATTCAGCAGTCCAAGAGATTGTGAGTCAGCAATCTGGACAAATACCAAGTTGAAATCCTCTAACACGTTGTGGTATATCCATGCCCTCCTCCCTGCAACCTGCGAATGTTACTTATATGGACAAAAAGGAGTGGGGGTCCCCTCTGTAAATAATGATTAAGGACCTTCAGATGGGCTGAGGTCCCTGGGTTAGGACCCTGGGTTATCCAGCTGGGCCCTAAATGCAGCCACGTGCATGCTTCCAAGGAAGAGGGAGGTGTGAAGGTGGAGCAATGCCCACAGGCCACAGTGGGCATCCAGGGGAGCACAGCCCTGGGCTCCAAGACCGTGGGACCATCCATTTCTATTCTTTTAAGCCAAGGTTCGGTGACTTGTCACAGGAGCTAATACATGGTTTAATATTAAATTTCCCTGCCTCCCTCCCTTAGCCACCGCACACCAAAGGGCTATTATGTGCCAGGGACTGTGAGGGGTAAGAAGACAAGGCAGAGGGCCTGCCGCGTATGAGCCCACCATCCAGGAGCATAGCTGGCAGGGCCGCACGGGCTGGGCCATGAGGCATAACAAAGCCAAGTCTGCAGCACTATCCCCCCCCAGGGAGGGCCACGCTGCAAGGTTTCACGGGGCAGGTGATGTTTCCACTTGGCCCTGAATGGCAAACCTGGATCCCAATGTGGAGGTGGAGGCGGGAAGTTGTCTAAACCCAGGGCACAGGCCAAAGAGTGACGCTGACGATTAAGTGTGTGAGGCGTGCTAGGAACCAGGGGGTGGTCAGGGAGAGGTCCGGGCTGGGAGACTTGACCAGAAAGGTAAGCTGAGGCCAGACTGTGCGATGCCTGAATGGCAGGCCCAAGACTGGCTGTCCCGTAGGGTGGGCTCCTTCGTGCCAGCCCTGAGGATGGTTCCACAGAGCCCGTGCATGTGAGCCAGCACTGCCCCACGAAGCCATTCAAAAACCAGATTTGGTGGGGCGCCTGGGGGGCTCAGTCAGTTAAGCATCCAACTCTTGATTTTGGCTCAGGTCATGGTCTCGCAGCCGTGAGATCGAGCCCTGCGTTGGGTCTACGCTGGGCATGGAGCCTGCTTGGGATTCTCCTCCCCCCTCCCAGCTCCCGGCTTCTACTCCACTCCCGCATGCGTTCTCCCCCTGCCCCTCCCCCCACCAAAACAGTTTTAGCAATCATGTTGGAAACAGAGTTCCAAAGATATGACATAGTTTGGACACTGAGGCACAGGAACTAATGACCGTGCCTACCAAGCATGGAGTCCCAGCCCTGACGCCAGGTCTGAAAGTGAATGAGTGCCGGGGGTGCATGAGAAGAAGTAGCATAAGGAGAAGAAAAGGAGAGGGGAGGAGGGGAGGAGGCAGACCTGGGGCTTCCTGCCAAAATGTTTGTGTCCTCCCTCCACATTGTGTGCCCTTCCTCCGTGCCAGGAAACCGCGCCAGCAGTCCGAGCCTATGATTGTACCTGTCCAGCTGATGCCAGCAGGTTTGGTTAGACTGTCCTTTGCCCAGGCCTGACTCCCGCTGCTGCTATTAACAAGCAAGGAACTACCACTGGTTCCCACTGGGGTCTCTGCCAGGCCCCCAGCCATTTGTACCTTGAGCCTAGTAATTAGGTCTAGAGATATCACCAGGCCAGGGGCCAGGCTCTGTTTGGATAGACTCAAGGAAGCTCAGCTGCTTCTCTGAACTTGGCCTCCTTGGGGTCTGCAGTGGGGAGCCAGCGGGGCCAGTTGGGAGGCTTTGGCCTTACCTGCTAACGGGCCCTCAGGAGAGGGCCTGGGGCGGCTGCTTCCCCCTCCACCATTGGTGACAAGCTTGTGCTGATGGAATCAGCACACAGAGGCGGCCGGGACAGAGGAAGGTGTGCTGGCCCGGGACAGGGGAAAGGGTGCTGAACCGGAGGGCCAAGACCCAGGCCCAAGCCCTCTGGCCCTGGGCAGTTCCCTAACTGCTCTGGGTCTCAGCGTCCCCTTTCGGAAAATGGGGATTAGATTTCTACCCAGCCTACTTTACAGGGTTGGAACAATAAAGAGTTCCTGGAAGGCATTTTGCCTTTTATAAAGTGCTACCTAAGTGTGAGGGGCCGTTAGTGGAAAGGACTCCCTCTCCTGACGGCGGGGGTGGGAAAGAGTTCGGGTCCCTCAGTCTGCCGTGTGCCCAGCACTTCCCTGTGCTCTGCTGTGGGCCCCTCCTTGCAGCAGAAAGGCAAAGGCTTTTTGCAGGTGTGAACCTGGCAGGCCTCCCTGGCACTGGCAAGGCCCAGGGCAAGGGCCCGCACAGAGGCCATTTCCCATATGTCTCATATTTAAAAGTCATAAATCAAGCTAACAAACCGTTAAATGAAATATGCTCTGTCCTCCCACCTTGTTAAATACATCTCTGTACCAACCTGGAAGCCCAAGAGTGAGTGCAGAATCCTGGGACTCCTTGCTGTGTGTGCCAGGGCCTGGCTGTGTGGGGAAAGCCCGGCCGGGCGATGATCTGCCCCGCCTCCCTCCCCATCCCCAGCCTCGCTCATCATCCCACGGGGCCTCACGTGCAGATGTGAATACCCAATCTCACATTCAAGTTCTGTCCACATCCCCCACCAGTCCTCGGGCCCAGGGTGCACATGCCCATGACATCGGCTGGGGAAGAGGCTGGAAGAGGCGTAGGGCTCTTTGCGCAGGACCCCCAGGGTGGGCTAGAAGGAGGCTTGGGCTCCAGGTAAATGGCTTAGAGCAAGAGACTTAAAAGAATCATCACAACATCCAACCCTGTCCTGAATTTTCCCCTGATGTTTTTAAAACATCTTTCAAAAAATGATACTTTGGGCTTCCCTGCTATGCTCATGACCTTTAGTACACAGCCAGCCAGCACGGCCATGATGTGCCGTCCTTCCCCACAGTATCCTACAAAGGAAGGAGACACGGCGGCTTCCTTTCCAATGTCTTTAAAGAAACTGACACATTGCTGGCCCGAGGGGATACGGTTTCAGTGGCCACAGGGTATTCAGCTTAGAATCAAGTGACAAACCCATCAGCTGACATCCTGTCGGTCCTGAGCACATGGTCCTCAGCCCCAAGGAGTAAGGCTGCTAAGAGCGCCTGGGGGGGGGTCTCCTGGTGTTCAGTCACTTAACTTAGGTGGCAGAGAATGGAGGAGGACCCCTACTGAGCATTGACTGGGCAACCTTTGGCCAGGTCCTGCACCCCTCTGTTCGGGCGATCTGTGTGGCCAACAAGGGACTGTGTGAGTGACAGTCAAGGCTCCCCCTGCTTCTCCGGAGCTCACCGCTGGCCCCACAGAAGGCCCTGCTGCAGAGAAAGAGGCTGAGAGTGCAGACCTCTGCCTGATTTATTCAGGTCCACTTCTCAGAAGCGCAGAGGTCACCTGGGCTGTTTGTGGGGATGCCCCCCCGAAACCCCATCCGCTGCCTGCTGCGGAGACGCCGACAGCGCACACTCACCAGGCACCATCCCTGTCAGCGTCGGTGCAGAGTAGCTGCCCTGTCCGGCGGGGGGAACGTGCGGAGGGTACCCGGGGAGGGTCGTGCTCGCCAAGTCACGGCCTGAGGAATCAAAGCAACAAATCACGGGGTGAGTGTCTCCGTGGCCAGCCGCTCATGTCCACAGCTCCTGGGACATCTGCACATTTGTCACGTCTGGGCGCTGAACGCCTGCGCGCCACGCCCCCCCATCACTCACATATGCGCACACACACACACACACACACACACACGTGCGCACGCACATACACCCCTCCAGCCGCCCTGGCTCCACTCGGCAGGAACCTGGTCCGGCTTCTGCGGCTTCCCTGGGAAAACAGCTCTGGCCAGCTCACCCTGCGAGAGCTGGAGTAGCACTTGGACTTCTCCCCCTCCACACCTTTGCTTCTGCTGTGCCTCAGCACAAGGCACCCTTTCCTCCAACTGCAGGCAGCCCAACATGACCTGCCTTCAAAGGCCCGCTCAGACACCTCCCTCCTCCTCCTGCCCCTCCTCAGACCCCTGACTGAATTTTTCCTTCCTTGGCCTCCAGCTAGGCAGTCACTCAACAAAGGTGCAGGAAATGTCCTTCCTCACACAGTCACTGTTCCGGCCCCGGGACGAGAGATTAAGGCCTCGGCTGTTGCAGGCAAACCCTCCAGTGGTCAGGTGTTATTCTCTTTGCAGGTTGCCAGCCCCTGGGTGGCAGGGGTGACCCTGTACGGCAGCTTCCCTCTCCAGAGTGTAAGCTCCAGGATCAAGTCGCTAAGATGTTTGTGCGCTAAGGTCAGATGGCATAGGCCCGCAAGTATTTGTTAAGTGAATGAAGGAAGCAGTCTTGCTGGAGCAGCAGAGCTCTCTGGAGCCCAAGAGAGTCCCTCCATCTGTGGTCAAGAATCTGTGAAGGGCGGGCCCTTGAAACTCTTCTTGACCAGCCCGTTACCATTCTGCAGATAGAAAAGCTGAGACCCACGGTGGGTGGGGAGCGTCTGGCTCAGGTCCCATAGGGAGCACGGCAGAGCAGGTACCTCTGCCCACATTTCCTAACATCAACCGAGGACCCTCCTCTATCTTAAGCAGCATCATGGTGGGGGTGGGAAGAGTGCTCACACCCAACACATAGTTCCTTCCACAGAGACTTGGTGACCTGAGGGCTGCTGAAAACGTATTTTGGGAAGCGGAGCGAGCATAAGTGTCAGACTAGTTGGTACACGATCAAAATGTCAGGGGCCAGATGTGAGACACGTAGAGAAAGTGGCCAGGGCTGGGCTGTTCCCATGGGTGTGGAGCTCTGGCCCTGGCACTGCCCCAGGCTCACCACCCCCTCTATGATATCAACAAACCATAAACGCTTACATCGAAATTATAAATGCCAGTCTCTGGGAGCGCCTGGGTGGCTCAGTCGGTTAAGTGTCCAACTTCAGCTCAGGTCATGATCTCATGGTTCGTGAGCTTGAGCCACGCAACAGGCTCTCTGCTGTCAACACAGAGCCTACTTTGGATCGTCTGTCCCCCCCCCTCTCTCTCTACACCTCTCCTGCTCATGCTCTCTCTGTCTCTCAAAAATAAATAAACATTAAAAATAAAGATAGAGGGCATTATTCTGACAGGAGGCTGCCTGGTGCATGGGGGCCAAGCCTCACAAGGTCCACATCCCACCTGGTTGCCTGAGATTTGGGAAGGAGGGTCCTGGGCAGAGAGGGGACTTGCCCAAGGACACTCAGTTGGCTTCAGGCAAGGCTACACTGAAACACAGCTCTCCTGCCTCCTGGATTAGGTTCTTTCTTCAACAGAGGTTGTGCCTTTGGTCAGAACCCTAACAGTTTCTGCCACTCTTACACATGCTTTAAAACCTTTATCCCTAAAGCAGAAAATGCAGTGCCTCACCAAAGCACTTAACTCAAGAAGCCAGATAAAAAAGTAATAAAATGAACTGAAGGAAAGGAGGAGGAAGGAATCGATAAAGAAAAAGCAGAAAATAATGAATTAGGAAAGTGAAAAAAGCAGACACAACAATAAATGCAACCAAGAATTGTTATTTGAAAAGACCAATAAGATAGACAAACCCAGGGCAAGATTCAAAAACGGAAACACAAACATCAAGGTAAGGAATGAGGAGAAGACACGACCAGACATGGAAGAGATGATATTTTTAAAATATTTTTTAAATGCAAAGATGCTCTACATTAATCAATGTGGAAATCTCAACAATGGGACAGTTTTCTAGGCAAACATGAATTACTAAAATTAATTCAAGTAGAAGACATGAACAGCCCAATCAACTTGGCAGAAATAGAAACAGTTGTGTTTTTTTTTTAAATTATTTTTAAATATAAGATGCCTTGTTCGTTTAGCTTTCAGGCAAGTTTCCTGTTTGTTTTTGTTTGGGAGAAGTTCTTTGAAACCATCAAAGGACACATACCTTTGTTATTAGACTGTTCCAGGATATATAAAACCAAAGAAAATTTTCCCAATTCATTTTTCCACCTAGCATATGAAAACTTATTTAATAGAGTTGTACAAAAATGAATATTAAAGGCTAGTTTCACAATTTATTAATATATATGCAAAATACCTATGGTCTCATTGATCAAACGAGATTAGAAAGAATAATATGCCATGAAAAATAAAATTTATTCCAGGTACACAAGGACAATTCAGTATTAAAGCACTGGTTGGGAAATCATATTAATGTATCAAAAGTTGAAAACCATATGATAGTATCAAAGCTGATGGAAAGCTTTTCTTATGTGGAAAAGGCATTGGCTAAATTCAATACTAATTCCTTCGAATACCTCTTGGTATGTATACGTCTTTGATCTGGTATTGATCTCAAATCTTGAGTCAACATAATAGGTGAAATACTTGAAACATTCTTTATTAAAATAAAAAAACATATCAAGGAAACCTGTTATCACTGAAAACTGTTCCAAAAGTTTTAGCCAGTATGAGAAGACAAGACAGAGGCAGAAGGGTAAACACTGGGAATAAGGGAAATACCAAAATTATTGGTAGCCGGGTATTTCGTAAGCCTGGAAAACCAGCTCATTCCAACCAGTGGGAAGGTTGGTGAGGCAGCTGGGTAATGCGGGTCCAGAATCGGTGTCTTTCTAGATTCAGTAGCTCCCTGCCGCCTATTCAATTAAGGACAGGTTTTTCAGTTTGACTTCCAAAACCCTCCTCAGTCTGTGCCCCCAACCTGTGACCCTTCCAGCCTCGTCAACTCTGACTCCCCGCGGGCCATTCCTCAACCCGCCCTGCACTGTCCCGTCCCCACACCTTTGCTCACACTGTTCCCTTTCTAACGGCCCTTTTCCCATTCCTAACAATTCAACATTCCATCCAATCTCCAAATTCGACCCTCAAGAATTTGGTCCTCTGAGAAGTTTTTCTCGAGGCCCTGCAAGTCTTGGTGGCAGCTGCCTCTTCTGCAGGTCTCTCTGCTCCCCACCCTGACCCAGTGCAAAGGGAGCATCAAGCCAGCAGAACAGATAAGCTGGAGGTGATGTCTGTTGTGATAAGATAGCACTTACTTTGTGCCAGACGCTCTTTTCCATTAACTCATTTTATCATCCTGACAACTCTGTGAGGTTCAAACAACGATCATGCCCACTTTGTAAAAGATGGAACTGAGGAACAAAGTGGTTAAATAACTTGCCCAAGGTCACATGAGAGGAGGAAACAGAGTTAAGATTTGAACCCACATGGCTGGGCTTCGGCCTGAACTTCGTTGGTGGCAGTAGGGGGTGGCATATGGGTGGGAGAAGATGAGCAAACAAGTAGGATTGAAGGGCTAGGAGGTTCGATTATTCAGGTTAGCAGCTGGAAGGGTGAGCAGGTTGAAGCGAGGAAGAAAGAGAAGAGGTCGAGGACTGGCTGCCAGATGTCAGGACAGAGAGTAGTTGTCAATGCTGTTTGGGAATAAACTCACCCATATTAGTCTGCAAGACCCCGTGCTGCATGGGGACCGCACAGGGCCTGGCACGTGGCAAGTGCCCCAGCTATCTGTGGGGCATCCAGGGCCCTTGTGCCAGTTTGCTACTGAGCTACTGTGGACCTCTGGGCAGCCACTGCTCTCTGAGTCTCAGTCTCTCCCAAATTTCAAAGAGAGCTCTTAGCTCAGTGATCTCCAAGAGTCCCCCAAAGCTCATACTGGTCTCTGTGTGCACATACACAAGGGTAGTTTTGCTATGAGTAGGCTTTCCGACCTTAAGGTCCGACTGCACCCACGGCTCTGGGGCCTCCACACTCTATCCTGCAATGTGAGCGGCTGCCTGGAGCGCCAATATGTCCTCCGACGACAATGGCAGGCAGTTCTCTGGTCTTCCAGCCTTAGTGAGGACTGTCAGCTCCGGCGAAGGTTCAGGACTTGGCCATCACGCCATGGGTTCATTCCATCCCCAGTTCCCCTTCCCAGCCCATCAGGATTGCAGTGTGCAGTGAGGTGCTGATAAATGGCTGCATTTATCCTACAAATAACTCTGCCTCTGAGTTCCCTATTGCTGAGCAATTCCTTTGCACTGTCCGTGGCTCCAATCTCATCCAACAAAGGTCCCTAGAACCAAAGGCCTGTGGCTGCATTTACCCTCCTTGGACTGGCCACAAAAGCAGAGAGTCTGAGTTATCACTTGTGATGGACAGCAAAGAGCAAGATGGGCCATGTCTGTGTCATCTCCAGCCTCCGGAACCTCTCCCTACTCTGCGCCAGGCACTGGGGTAGGCTGTTCGTGAACATTATTCCACTAATCCTCATAGCATTCCCAATAAACTTTATGAGATCTTGTGGGGAAGTCACAGGGAGGCTGACCGCAGCTCAGTATAGAAGGGAAAGCAGCAGAGCACAGCAATTATGAGTGTCCAGTTTGGAGGCGCCTGGGTGGTTCGGTCAGTTAAGCATCCAACTTTGGCTCAGATCATGATCTTGCTGTTCCTGAGTTTAAGCCCCTCGTCGGTCTCTGTGCTGACAACTCAGAGCCTGGAGACTGTTTCAGATTCTGTGTCTCCCCCCCTCTCTCTCTCTGCCCCTCCCTCCCTTCTCTCTCAAAAAAAAAAACAAACATGTTTAAAAAATTAAATGAGTATTC